TCCAGCGGTCCCCTGTGTCTGTGCTCAGGAGTCACCCGGGACCTCCAGGTCCCTCCACGTGCAGCATGGCCAGCGTGTGGGGGGATCAGTTACACCCCACCCTCATCAGGCCCATGATTGAAAGCAAACACGTTTGTGCAGGAGATACCGTGGAAAAGGTTGTCTTGTTAATTATGTTTCTCAGAATTAAAGGTTTTGTCCCTATTCTCACACTTGTCCAAACTCAATGGCCCTTCACGGTTAGAAAGGAATCTTGATCTCACAGTTGGAAGAGGAAACGAATTCAGAATCCCAACCAATTCACGTGATTCCCAGGAAGCTGCTGACATGTGACCCTGTGTGGTCGGCCATGGAGGCAGAAGAAGGAGAGTCCCCGTCGCTGACCACACAGAGTCCGTGTTTCCCTGGGAAACACAGATTCTAACACGGAGGCCCTGAGCTCTCTTCTGAGCAGACTCAGGGGGCATGGGCCTCCTGAGTATGGAAGAGAGGGCGGGACATGGGGCTTACGAGGCATTGTGGGAAGAGGAGGAAGTGATCTGGAGGTGGAGAGGGGAAAGCCAGGGAGGGGGTGAAAGGTCAAGCTCTAAGGTCAGTCTCCTGCATTGGAGTCTTGACCCATCATCTCAGTCTGTGGGATTCTGGGAAAATCACTAACCTCCCAAGGACGCTTCCTCCTCATTGGCCTGGAGGAGAGGCTGGGCCCTAGCAGAGGATGCTGGGGGCTCCTGTGATGCTGAGTGAGGGGCCAGGGACACACTCCCCACCTGCCAGCCTCCAGGAAGCTCTCAGAAGGCCTCCCTGTGATGAACCAGCTGCACATGGAGGTGACATTCACCCTGTGGACAGCAGGGGGCGCTGTGGGTCCTGGTTTGTGGCCATAGAGGTCAGAGTGCCCTGGGCTGGGTCAAGTGCAAAGAGCAGCACTGAGCTCCTGGGAAGACCCTCCCATGGGCCCAGCAGCTCTGAGCAGTGAAACCCACAGCTGCCCTCTGCCCTCAGGGGAGGCCCCGCAGGAGGCCCTGGGCTCAGGGCGGGGCCAGCAGCTGACACACACCCTGGCTGGGCCCAGAGCACTCATTTGCATGCCTGCTCCTCCCCCCTGAGCTGCAGGCACAGAGGATAAGACAGGGGCTGGCAGGGCCAGTGCCAGCTGGGCAGCCGCAGGCAGCGCTCAGGACCCTCCGCCATGGCCTGGCTGCCCTTCTGCCTCCTGCCCCTCTTGCTGTCCACAGGTCAGAGCGGCCACAGCCCCTGGGGTCCTGCCCCCATCCTCCCTCCCAGCTCCGTTTTCGGGGCGCCCGCACGTGGGAGTGCATTGGGCATCACTGTGTTTTGTGTCCGCAGGTCTCTGTGCTCCTGTTGTGCTCACCCAGCCCCCATCTGCCTCTGCTGCCCTGGGGTCCTCGGTCAAGCTCACCTGCACCCTGAGCCGGGAGCACAGCACCTACTATATTCACTGGTATCAGCAGAGAGCAGGACAGGTCCCTCGTTATTTGATGAAGGTTAACAGCGACGGAAGCACCACCAAGGGGGACGGGATCCCTGATAGGTTCTCGGGCTCCAGCTCCGGGGCTGACCGCTACCTGACCATCTCCAGCCTCCAGCCTGAGGACGAGGCTGACTATTACTGTGGTGTACCTTCTGGCTATTACTCACAGTGACACAGGCGAGTGGGGAAGTGGGACAGAAACCTGCCCGCCCTGCCTGGTTCCCTTGCTCACCCGCTGTCTGAGCAGCTGGAGGTCAGGCCTCAGGTTCAGGAGTCCTCCCTGGCCTGGCCGGTCTCCTGCAGCACTGGGGCCTCAGTAGGTCTCCTGTCCTCTCAGGGCCTCTGCTCCTGCTGATGGAAATGGTGGATAAGGAGAGAAAAACCTCCCTCCCCGGGCTACTCCCACAGGTCCGGAGGGTGCCCTCCCTGCTTCTCCCAGGACCCTGAACCCATGGCTCTCCTCCTCCCACCACCTCACCTGGCCCCTCCTCCTGCTGAGAGCCCTGAGGAGAGGCCCCTGCGGGCACCACATAGGTCCCTGGGACCAGACAGCCTGAGTGTCTTCGCCCCCCCCCCCCCCCCAGGCATGTGGGAACAATGCTGGGGGACCTGCCTGCCCTCAAGGGAAACATCTGAGAGAGGGGCGGGGCTGATGACCGTGTCCCCCAGCACCCTCAGGCCTGTGGTCCAACCTGGGGCTCTGGTCAGAGAGGAGCCGGATCTTGGGGTCCCGGCGGGGACCATGGAACACACAGCAGTGAGCGCCTTCCCTCTGAGTGCAGCATGGACTCCGGCAGGGCCTGGCAGGTCAGGGCTGAGCAGGACGCACTGGTCCTCAGGGAGGCAGGACAGAGCCCTGACCCCATGGGGGGCACAGCCCTGGGCCCCAGGAGGGAAGCGGTGCCTGAGGGGAGGTCTGAGCAGCACCAGCGTGGAGCAGGGAATGGCTCCTCCAGCTGCGCCAGAGCCTCTGCTTGTGGGGCCAACACAGGCCCCCTCTGCCCGGGCCCTCCCCAAGGTCGGTCAGGGTCATGTCCACTGAGAGGGCGGCCGGCAGGGGGGCCAGGGAGACTGAAGAGGGAAATATGTGGGCTCCTTCCTCCTGGAGGGCAGTCCTGTGGGGGGGTTCCCCCTCATTGCATCACACGGGGAGCCCAGGGGAGGGCACAGGCTGGACTCTGCCTGGTTCTCTGGAATCTGAAATACAGCACCTTTCACACCCCACACCTCCCAGGCCGCATGGAGCCGCTGTGGACTGACTCGCCCGGGTCCCTGGGGGCTGAGCTGAGCTGGGGCACGAGGGAGGCAGGGCTGGTCCCCAGTGGCTGCCTCTGAGATGAATATACAGTTGGTTCCCTGGGCCTGGGTGACCCTAGTTGGGATGGAGGGGGAAAGATTGGTCTCCCGGGAAGGAGGGAACAGGGAGCAGGAGGAGCAGCAGGAAATGGATCAGGGCTGACCCCCCAGTGACCTCTGTCAGCCCAGGCAACTGCAGGCAGAGTGTCCCAGGACCACCCCAGTCCCCCTCCCCTGTGAAGGGCTGTTCTCTAAAGGGCTGTGGTGACTTTGTCCCACACAAGCTCCCTCAGGTCCCTCTGGCTCTCTCTCCTCTTTCTCTCTCACTCTCTCCCTCTCTGGATTTTTCTCACCCACTCCCTTCCTCTCTGAACTCAATGAAAACACACATATTTTAAAAAGAGCTCCTTCCTTCTCCCTGCAGACTAGTGTTCCCTGGTCTGGCGGGAGTGACGTCTGTTATTCACCACACAGGAAGGACAGAGGCCTCGGTGCTCTCCCACGTGGACATGGTGCCCGCGGGGCCATGACTTCTGTGCAGAGTTCCCAGGGTTCTTCTTCCAGCATTAAGAAGGGTTCAGCAATGTGGAGAAAGGCGGCGCAAAGATTAAGTAAGGGTCCAAAGAGGAAAGGAAATTTTGAAAAGTGTTAGGGGACAGAGGAGCGTTGGCTAAAGGAACGAAGCTCTTTTTGTCTCAGGACACTTGCTTTTTATTAACACAATTTGTCCTAAGGAAAGGTGGAGATCATACACTTCCAAGGGTAGGGTTTAGAGCATTGTCAGGATGGGGAGAAGCCTACAGCTGTTCAGGTGTTTGGCCAACAGGAGGCAATGACAGGTAGATTAAGAAGCCCTGAGCTATCTGGCAGCAAGCAATCATCCTATTGAGGTTTGGGGGAAATGCCTTCAGCCATTCCAACAGGTGATTGCATATGTGCCTCAGCCCTTGTGGAGTCCTCAAGTTGCATCAGCCTTTTGAGGAAACTCTTGCAATCATGACATGCTGGACGTGGATCTGGCACCCAGTGTCTCTGTGAGCACAGGCCTCCCTCTGAAAGGAGTGCCTGGAGCACAGGTGCTGGGCTGTGTGCTGGGTGCGAGGCTCCGTCCCCCAGAGGCCGTGAAGGGTTTCTCACAGTCACCTGACCCTTTCCCATTCCCACCGTCCCTCTTGGCGGCATCCGTTGCTCCCTCCCTTGAGAACAGAAAATACCTGTCTCATGTTGTGGTCGTGTATCACTGTGATTTTCACTGCTGTTTCCCTAGTAACTAAGGATGAACGCCCTCCCCTGTGCTCAGGACCATCAACACCCCCTCTGCCTGATTCGCCTGCTCATGGGTCCTGCCTGCGTCCTCATGGGTTCTAACTCTTTGGTTAAATTTCATTCCTTCTGTCCTGGCTGCACTGGCCATTCATTAAAAATGGGGTTAACTCGCATTTCTCTTCTCTCTCTTGCCTGTTCCTTTACAAAGCTTTACCCAGCCAAGGAGATCGCTTTCCATGAGTGTCAATGAATGAATGGTTCCTTTGGTGAACCGTGCTTCTGATGGCATCACAGAATGCTTGCTTGGCCTTGGACCTCAATCAGTAACACGGTTGCCTAAGAGGCACATGAGCAATTTCTCTGGGAACCGGGCCTCTCCCACCCCAGCATGACCACAGGCCCCACAGGCTCCTCCCAGCCCCGCACCCCCGCCCTGTGGGTAATTCCTCACCAGAGAGGAGGCCAGGATGCTGGGTCAGAGGTCAGAACTACCCCCCCCCTTTTTTTTCAAATATTTTTTCATTTATTTCAGAAAAAGTGGGGCAAGGGAGAGAGATAGAAACAGCAATTATGAGAGAATCACTCATAGACTGCCACCTGCACACCCCATAATGGGGATTGATGCCCTACCTGGGTCTGGACCCTCACCTGGAATCAAAACTGGATCCCCTGGGTCATGGGTCAATGCTCCAACACTGGGCCATACCAGCCAGACAGAACTTTCTTAGTGGAAAGCACAGGGCGCTCTGGGGAACCTGGTGCAGGCCCAGTGCATGGAGCCCTGGCACAGCCTCCCACACTGAGCCCTTTTCTGCTCAGCAGGGAGACCCCCTGAGCTCCAGGAGGAAGGAAGTGGATTTGCATGAGGCCCGCCCACCCAGGAGGGAAGAGCCTTGAAGACCTCACCCCCAGCTGAGGGCCCAAAGCAGAGCCTGGCAGCCTCACCATGGCCTGGACCCTTGTGCTCGCCCTCCTCACACTCTGCACAGGTGCTGCCCCAGGCTCAGCCCCGACACCAGGGAGCAGCCTGGCCATGACCTTTGGCTCAGGGTGTGGGCCTCTGGGACTGAGACCCTCATGCCCTCACTCACCTCTCCTCTCCTCTCCTCTCCTTTTGTCTCCTCACTTACAGGTCCTGTGGCCTCTTCAGAAGTTACTCAGCCTCCAGCAGTGTCTGTGGCCTTGGGACAGAGGGTCAGCATCACCTGCAAGGAAAATCTCGAAAAAAAATATAATCCCAGCTGGTACCTGCAGAAGCCCGGCCAGGCCCCCAAGCTGCTCATCCATAGTGACACAAACAGGACCTCAATGATCCCTGAGAGATTCTCTACATCATGGTCAGTGGACACGGACACCCTGATCATCAGCAGGGCCCAGGCCCAGGACGAGGCAAACTATTACTGTTTAACATGGAACGACAATGCTAAAGCTCACAGTGACACAGGCGGATGGAGAAGTGGGACAGAAACCTCCTGGGTCACCCTCCCCTCCAGCCCTGAGCGCAGCTCCCCGTCTGTGTGGAGCGAGAGCAGGGCAGCTCCGGGCCCTTGGACGATCCCACATGGAGCCCTGTCAGCCGGGTCCTGTCCAGGAGCGTGAGGCCATGAGGAGGGCGGGGGCATCGGACCTGCCCCTGGAGCACCCTGGGAACCCTTGAGAGAACGTCTGAAACAGCAGCCATATCAGCTCCACAGCGACCCCACCGTGTCAAAGAGAACCCGAGCTTACAGGGGACCTGTGCCCCCAGACATAGTCATCACCGGCCATGTAAGGAGGACATTGGCCTTTGGATTTAAAGAAACGTTGCTGGTCCTCGCTGGGGTGGCTCAGTAGGTAGAGAAACAGCCTGCAGATGAGGGGTCCCGGGTTCGATTCTGTCCTAGGGCACGTGACCCGTGTGTGGGCTCAATTCCAGGAGGGCGCTGCAGGAGGCAGCCAATCAGTAATTCTCTCTCATCACTGATGTTTCTATCTCTGACTCCCTCTCCGTCCCTCTCTAAAGTCAATAAAAATATATGTGAAAATAAATGAACAAATGCTGCTGGGAGTGGCCTTCTCCGTGGGAAGGTCATTGCCATGAACCTCCGGGTAGGACGCGGTATTGTGCGCAGAGATCCAGAGGGAGGCTGAGGAGGAGGAAGGTGATGGACGGGCCTGCTGCTCTCACAAAGGGGCGTGTGGGCCTCACTGCCCCGCACACACCTGCCCTGGAGGTCAGGTCGCCCTGGACATCCTAGCAGGTCCCCTCCCACGTGGTCATGAGCCCACAGCTCAGGGGGGAGGACTGGGCAGCAGGAGTGGCCACAGGGCGCCTGGGGAGACCCTGAGGTGTGGGTGTGAGGAGGGGTGGCAGCGGATGGGCAGGCAGAGGGGAGCGGGCGCCCCCTCAGCAGGGAGCAGTAGGGCTGTGTCTGAGGCAGGGCCTGGGCTCATGTCAGTTCCCTCTTTAGCCCCAAAGCTGAGCAGGGCCAGGGCTCCCTGTGTCTGTGCTCAGGAGTCACCCAGCGCCTCCAGGTCCCTCCACGTGCAGCGTGGCCAGCGTGTGGGGGTGTCAGTGACGTTCTGTTCCCAGCAGTGCTGGGTGTGGACACTGACATGGTGTCAGGATGTGAGGGGACACCTGCTTTCCTGCCAAAGACGCTTTGGAAAGTCACAGGCTGCCTCTCCCTGCACTGACCCTGCTCCACACCCATGGCCTGGGCCCGGTCAGAGGAGCAATCCCGATCAGCACTGTGAACAGCCTCGCCAGACAGGGGCCCTAAGCAGGACCCGATTCCCATGTGCCTGTGACACAAGACCCCGTGGGGTCAGCCACGCAGGGAGAGGGGCGTGTTCCCACCTCAGTCCACACTCAGTTCCATGTTCCCCAGGAGACACCGATGGCAACAGCCTGAGGATCTGAGCACTGTTCTCCCAGACTCAGGAGGATGGACTCCTGAATAGAGAACAGAGGGCGGGACAGGAGGGCTGAGTGGCCTTGTGGGGCGGGACAGGGAGGACGCTGGAAGGTCAGGCTCTGAGGCCAGTCTCCTGCATTGGAGTCTTGACCCAACATCTCTGTCTGGGGGATTCTGGGAAAATCACTAACCTCCCAAGGACGCTCCCTCCTCATTAGCCTGGAAGAGAGGCTAGGCCCAGCAGAGGATGCTGGGGACTCCTGTGATGCTGAGTGAGGGGCCAGAAACACACTCCCCACCTGCCAGCCTCCAGGAAACTCTCAGAAGGCCTCCCTGTGATGAACCAGCTGCACAGAGCGGTGACATTCATCCTGAGGACAGCAGGGGGCGCTGTGGGTCCTGGTTTGGGGCCATAGAGGTCAGAGTGCCCTGGGCTGGGTCAAGTGCAAAGAGCAGGACTGAGCTCCTGGGAAGACCCTCCCATGGGCCCAGCAGCTCTGAGCAGTGAAACCCACAGCTGCCCTCTGCCCTCAGGGGAGGCCCCGCAGGAGGCCCTGGGCTCAGGGCGGGGCCAGCAGCTGGCACACACCCTGGCTGGGCCCAGAGCACACATTTGCATGCCTGCTCCTCCCCCCTGAGCTGCAGGCACAGAGGATAAGACAGGGGCTGGCAGGGCCAGTGCCAGCTGGGCAGCCGCAGGCAGCGCTCAGGACCCTCCGCCATGGCCTGGCTGCCCTTCTGCCTGCTGCCCCTCTTGCTGTCCACAGGTCAGAGCGGCCACAGCCCCTGGGGTCCTGCCCCCATCCTCCCTCCCAGCTCCGTCCTCGGGGCGCCCGCACGTGGGAGTGCTTTGGGCCTCACTGTGTTTTGTGTCCGCAGGTCTCTGTGCTCCTGTTGTGCTCACCCAGCCCCCATCTGCCTCTGCCGCCCTGGGGGCCTCGGCCAAGCTCACCTGCACCCTGAGCCGGGAGCACAGCACCTATAATATTCGCTGGTATCAGCAGAGAGCAGGACAGGGCCCTCGGTTCATCATGTATCTTAAGAGTGACGGAAGCACCACCAAGGGGGACGGGATCCCCGATCGCTTCTCGGGCTCCAGCTCCGGGGCCGACCGCTACCTGACCATCTCCAGCCTCCTGCCTGAGGACGAGGCTGAGTACATCTGTGGAGTGGGCTATAGCATTGATGGCCAGGTTGATTAACCCACGGTGACTCAGACAAAGGGGAAGTGGGGCAAAAACCTCTCACCCACTGTCTGCTCCTCCACAGGTACTCGGGGGACCTGCTCCCTGTCCCTCTCCAGATGCTGAGATGCTGACTCTTTCCTTGCAAAACCATCATCCTACCCCCAATGTACCCCGGGGAGAAGCAAACAGGGGCCATGACTGGGGTCCTTGTGCCCACACTTACATTCTGACAACCCTCACCTGTGGGCAGGAAGCTGGCACCCACCACACCAGACCCCACACACCAGGCCCCTGAGGGGGAGTGGGGCTGCGCTGACCAGTTTCCTAGGATGCACCAGGCCTGGGCTCGGGTCCGGGCTCTGCTCAGGGAAGGAGCAGAGACCTCGAGGCTGCAGAGGTGACCGTGGACATGGTCTGCTGCCTGTGCTGCTCCGTGGAGGGAAGCAGGGCCTGGCAGGACGGGGCTGAGCAGGACCTCAGGGAACCAGGACAGAGCCCTGACCCCGTGGGGGGGTGCAGCCCTGGCCCAGGAGGGAGGCGGGGCCTGTGGGGAGGTCTGACAGGACCAGCGTGGAACAGGGCCTGGCTCCTCCCGCTGCTCCAGAGCCTCAGCTTTTGGGGCCAAGACAGGTTCCCTCTGCCCGGGCCGTTGAGAGACAATGGGGCGGGACCCCAGCCACTGAGGACATGACCGTTCCTGGTGCTGAGAGCCCATGAGGGGGATTCATCCCCTCAGGAGGCAGGCGTGTGGGTGATGCTCCTCAGATACATCAGGGCGCGTTCATTTCTTCTGGAGCTTTCCTGGGACCTAAAGGCATCAAAGCCCATCCCCATCTCCAGCACAGAGTCCTCAGGAGCCGCCAGACAACCCACAGTGACCCTGGCCCTGGGCGCTGACCTGAGCTGGACCAGGAGGGGTGTGTGTGTGTGCTTCGTTCCATGTGGTTTTGTACCACAAGTAGGTTCATGTTGTGGGTTCATGCTGTGGGTTCATGTTGCCACCACAGCTGTCAGGATACAGGACATTCCATCACCCAGGATCCCGCCTGTGGGCCTCTCAGAACACAGTCCGCCTTCTGCCACAGAGATCTCCTCCCCAGCCCCAAGCCCTTTGCAATCACTAATGAATGATCCGTTTCCAGAATTTGATCTTTGTGGAAATAATATCTGGAAATGAAAAGAGCCCGACCAGGGTGGCTCAGTGGTTGAGCATTGACCCATGAACCAAGAGGTCAGTGGCTGGATTCCCAATCAGGGCACATGCCCGGGTTGTGGGATTGATGCCCATGAAGGGGGCGTGCAGGAGGTGGCCTATGTCAGTGGTCCGCAAACTCATTAGTCAACAGAGGCAAATTTGCATAGTACAAGGACTGACATTTCTTGTGAGAGCCTAAAACCGACTTCTCCTCATGGGCCACCAAGTTTCAATCCCACTGTCTGTTTCAGTCGCACAGATATTTAGTGGAAGAGCCACACTCAAGGGGCTAAAGAGCCACATGTGCCCAGGGCCTTCACCAGGAATCAAAACTGGATCTCCCAGCCGAAACTCGTTTGGCAAGGTGGATGGAGCTTCGGCCTGTGGACTGAAGGGTCCCAGGATCGATTCCAGCCAAGGACATGTACATTGGTTGTGGGCACATCCCCAGTGGGGACTGTGCAAGAGGCAGCTGATCAATGATTCTCTCTCATCAATGTTTCTAACTCTCTATTCCTCTCTCTTCCTCTCTGTAAAAAATCAATAGAATATATATTTAAAACAAAAACAAAAACAAAAAAAAACTGGATCCCCTGGGTCATGGGTCGATGCTCCAACACTGGGCCACACCGGCCAGACAGAACTTTCTAAGTGGACAGCACAGGGCGCTCTGGGGAACCTGGTGCAGGCCCAGTGCATGGAGCCCTGGCACAGCTTCCCACACTGAGCCCTTTTCTGCTCAGCAGAGAGACCCCCTGAGCTCCAGGAGGAAGGAAGTGGATTTGCATGAGGCCCCGCCCACCCAGGAGGGAAGAGCCTTGAAGACCTCAGCCCCAGCTGAGGGCCCAGAGCAGAGCCTGGCAGCCTCACCATGGCCTGGACCCTTGTGCTCGCCCTCCTCACACTCTGCACAGGTGCTGCCCCAGGCTCAGCCCCGACACCAGGGAGCAGCCTGGCCATGACCTTGGGCTCAGGGAGGGGATGATGAGGGGTGTGGGCCTCTGGGACTGAGACCCTCATGTCCTCACTCTCCTCTCCTCTCCTCTCCTCTCCTCTCCTCTCCTCTCCTCTCCTCTCCTCTCCTCTCCTCTCCTCTCCTCTCCTCTCTTCTGTTCTTCTCTCCTCTCCTCCCCTCTTCTCTCCTCTGCTCCCCTCCCCTCTCTTCTCCTCGCCTCTCCTCTCCTCCCCTGTCCTCTCCTCCCCTCTCCTCTCTTCATCTCTCCTCTCCTCACCTCTCCTCTCCTTTTTTCTTCTCTCTAACAGGGCCTGTGACCTCTTCAGACCCTGCTCAGCCTGCAGCAGTGTCTGTGTCCTTGGGACAGACCATCAGCATCACCTGCAAGGGAGAACGTGTAAAAAAGTATTATCCCAGCTGGTACCAGCAGAAGCCCGGCCAGTCCCCCAAGCTTCTCATCTATGCTGACTCAAGCCGGACATCAACGATCCCTGAGCGATTCTCTAGTTCATGGTCAGTGGACACGGACACCCTGACCATCAGCAGGGCCCAGGCCCAGGACGAGGCTGACTATTACTGTGCAGTGTGGGATGGCAGTGCTAAAGCTCACAGTGACACAGGCGGATGGGGAAGTGGGACAGAAACCTCCCTGTGTCACCCTCCCCTCCAGCCCTGAGCGCAGATGCCCGTCTGTGTGGAGCGAGAGCAGGGCAGCTCCGGGCTCTTGGACGATCCCACATGGAGACCTGTCAGCCGGGTCCTGTCCAGGAGCGTGAGGCCATGAGGAGGGCGGGGGCATCGGACCTGCCCCCAGAGGGGCCTGTGCATCCTGAGAAGGAACGTCTGAAACAGCAGCCAATCAGCTCCACAGCGACCCCACCGTGTCCAAGAGAACCCGAGCTTACAGTGGACCTGGGCCCCCACACACAGGCAACACCGGTCATGTCAGGAGGACAGTGGCCTTTGGACTTTAAAGAAACGTTGCTGGCCCTCCCTGGGGTGACTCAGTGGGTAGAGAGACAGCCTGCAGATGAGGGGTCCCGGGTTCCATTCTGTCCAAAGGCACGTGACCCGTGTGTGGGCTCAATCCCAGAAGGGCGCTGCAGGAGGCAGCCAATCAGTGATTCCCTCTCATCACTGATGTTTCTACCTCTCACTTCCTCTCCCTCCCTTTCTAAAGTCAATAAAAATATATTTAAAAATAAATGAACAAATGCTGCTTGGAGCGGCCTTCTCCTTGGGAAGGTCATTGCCATGAACCTCCGGACAGGACATGGTGTTGTGCGCAGAGATCCAGAGGGAGGCTGAGGAGGAGGAAGGTGATGGACAGGCCTGCTGTTCTCTCAAAGGGGTGTGTGGGCCTCACTGCCCCGCACACACCCTGCCCTGGAGGTCAGGTCGCCCTGGACATCCTAGCAGGACCCCTCCCACGTGGTCCTGAGCCCACAGCTCAGGGGTGAGGACTGGGCAGCAGGAGTGGCCGCAGGCCCCTGGGGAGACCCTGAGGTGTGAGTGTGAGGAGGGGCGGAAGCGGGTGGGCAGGCAGAGGGGAGCGGGCGCCCCCTCAGTGGGCAGCAGTAGGGCTGTGTCTGAGGCAGGGCCTGGGCTCATGTCAGTTCCCTCTTTGATCCCAACGCTGAGCAAGGTCCAGCGGTCCCCTGTGTCTGTGCTCAGGAGTCACCCGGCGCCTCCAGGTCCCTCCACGTGCAGCATGGCCAGCGTGTGGGGGGATCAGTTACACCCACCCTCTTCAGGCCCATGATTGAAAGCAAACACGTTTGTGCAGGAGATACCGTGGAAAAGGTTGTCTTGTCAATTATGTTTCTCAAAATTAAAGGTTTTGTCCCTATTCTCACACTTGTCCAAACTCAATGGCCCTTCACGGTTAGATAGGAATCTTGATCTCACAGTTGGAAGAGGAAACAAATTCAGAATCCCAACCAATTCACGTGATTCCCAGGAAGCTGCTGACATGTGACCCTGTGTGGTCGGCCATGGAGGCAGAAGAGGGAGAGTCCCCGTCGCTGACCACACAGAGTCCGTGTTTCCCTGGGAAACACAGATTCTAACACGGAGGCCCTGAGCTCTCTTCTGAGCAGACTCAGGGGGAATGGGCCTCCTGAGTATGGAAGAGAGGGTGGGACATGGGGCTTACGAGGCCTTGTGAGAAGAGGAGGAAGTGATCTGGAGGTGGAGAGGGGCAAGCCAGGGAGGGGGTGAAAGGTCAAGCTCTAAGGTCAGTCTCCTGCATTGGAGTCTTGACCCATCATGTCTGTCTGGGGAATTCTGGGAAAATCTCTAACCTCCCAAGATTGCTCCCTCCTCATTGGCCTGGAGGAGAGGCTGGGCCCTGGCAGAGGATGCTGGGGGCTCCTGTGATGCTGAGTGAGGGGCCAGGGACACACTCCCCACCTGCCAGCCTCCAGGAAGCTCTCAGAAGGCCTCCATGTGATGAACCAGCTGCACAGGGAGGTGGCATTCATCCTGGGAACAGCAGGGGGCGCTGTGGGTCCTGCTTTGGGGCCATAGAGGTCAGAGTGCCCTGGGCTGGGTCAAGTGCAAAGAGCAGGACTGAGCTCCTGGGAAGACCCTCCCATGGGCCCAGCAGCTCTGAGCAGTGAAACCCACAGCTGCCCTCTGCCCTCAGGGGAGGCCCCGCAGGAGGCCCTGGGCTCAGGGCGGGGCCAGCAGCTGGCACACACCCTGGCTGGGCCCAGAGCACACATTTGCATGCCTGCTCCTCCCCCCTGAGCTGCAGGCACAGAGGATAAGACAGGGGCTGGCAGGGCCAGTGCCAGCTGGGCAGCCGCAGGCAGCGCTCAGGACCCTCCGCCATGGCCTGGCTGCCCTTCTGCCTCCTGCCCCTCTTGCTGTCCACAGGTCAGAGCGGCCAGAGCCCCCGGGGTCCTGCCCCCCATCCTCCCTCCCAGCTCCGTCCTCGGGGCGCCCGCACGTGGGGGTGCATTGGGCATCGCTCTGTGTTTTGTGTCCGCAGGTCTCTGTGCTCCTGTTGTGCTCACTCAGCCCCCATCTGACTCTGCTGCCCTGGGGTCCTTGTGCCCACACTTACATTCTGACCCCCCTCACCTGTGGGCAGGAAGCTGGCACCCACCACACCAGATCCCGCACACCAGGCCCCTGAGGGGGAGTGGGGCTGAGCTGACCAGTTTCCCAATAGGCACTGGGCCTGGGCTCAGGTCTGGGCTCTGCTCAGGGAAGGAGCAGAGACCTCGAGGCTGCAGAGGTGACCGTGGACGTGGTCTGCTGCCTGTGCTGCTCCGTGGAGGGAAGCAGGGCCTGGCAGGACGGGGCTGAGCAGGACCTCAGGGAACCAGGACAGAGCCCTGACCCCGTGGGGGGGTGCAGCCCTGGCCCAGGAGGGAGGCAAGGCCTGTGGGGAGGTCTGACAGGACCAGCGTGGAGCAGGGCCTGGCTCCTCCCGCTGCTCGAGAGCCTCAGCTTTTGGGGCCAAGACAGGTTCCCTCTGCCCGGGCCTTTGAGAGACAATGGGGCGGGACCCCAGCCACTGAGGACATGACCGTTCCTGGTGCTAAGAGCCCATGAGGGGGATTCATCCCCTCAGGAGGCAGGCGTGTGGGTGATGCTCCTCAGATACATCAGGGCGCGTTCATTTCTTCTGGAGCTTTCCTGGGACCTAAAGGCATCAAAGCCCATCCCCATCTCCAGCACAGAGTCCTCAGGAGCCGCCAGACAACCCACAGTGACCCTGGCCCTGGGCGCTGACCTGAGCTGGACCAGGAGGGGTGTGTGTGTGTGCTTCGTTCCATGTGGTTTTGTACCACAAGTAGGTTCATGTTGTGGGTTCATGCTGTGGGTTCATGTTGCCACCACAGCTGTCAGGATACAGGACATTCCATCACCCAGGATCCCGCCTGTGGGCCTCTCAGAACACAGTCCGCCTTCTGCCACAGAGATCTCCTCCCCAGCCCCAAGCCCTTTGCAATCACTAATGAATGATCCGTTTCCAGAATTTGATCTTTGTGGAAATAATATCTGGAAATGAAAAGAGCCCGACCGGGGTGGCTCAGTGGTTGAGCATTGACCCATGAACCAAGAGGTCAGTGGCTGGATTCCCAATCAGGGCACATGCCCGGGTTGTGGGATTGATGCCCATGAAGGGGGCGTGCAGGAGGTGGCCTATGTCAGTGGTCCACAAACTCATTAGTATAACAGAGGCAAATTTCCATAGTACAAGGATTGACATTTCTTGTGAGAGCCTAAAACCGACTTCTCCTCATGGGCCACCAAGTTTCAATCCCACTGTCTGTTTCAGTCGCACAGATATTTAGTGGAAGAGCCACACTCAAGGGGCTAAAGAGCCACATGTGCCCAGGGCCTTCACCAGGAATCAAAACTGGATCTCCCAGCCGAAACTCGTTTGGCAAGGTGGATGGAGCTTCGGCCTGTGGACTGAAGGGTCCCAGGATCGATTCCAGCCAAGGACATGTACATTGGTTGTGGGCACATCCCCAGTGGGGACTGTGCAAGAGGCAGCTGATCAATGATTCTCTCTCATCAATGTTTCTAACTCTCTATTCCTCTCTCTTCCTCTCTGTAAAAAATCAATAGAATATATATTTAAAAAAAAACAAAAACAAAAACAAAAAAAAACTGGATCCCCTGGGTCATGGGTCGATGCTCCAACACTGGGCCACACCGGCCAGACAGAACTTTCTAAGTGGACAGCACAGGGCGCTCTGGGGAACCTGGTGCAGGCCCAGTGCATGGAGCCCTGGCACAACCTCTCACACTGAGCCCTTTTCTGCTCAGCAGAGAGACCCCCTGAGCTCCAGGAGGAAGGAAGTGGATTTGCATGAGGCCCGCCCACCCAGGAGGGAAGAGCCTTGAAGACCTCACCCCCAGCTGAGGGCCCAGAGCAGAGCCTGGCAGCCTCACCATGGCCTGGACCCTTGTGCTCGCCCTCCTCACACTCTGCACAGGTGCTGCCCCAGGCTCAGCCCCGACACCAGGGAGCAGCCTGGCCATGACCTTGGGCTCAGGGAGGGGATGATGAGGGGTGTGGGCCTCTGGGACTGAGACCCTCATGTCCTCACTCTCCTCTCCTCTCCTCTCCTCTCCTCCCCTCTCCTCTCCTCTCCTCTCCTCTCCTCTCCTCTCCTCTCCTCTCCTCCCCTCTCCTCTCCTCTCCTCTCCTCTCCTTTTGTCTCCTCACTTATAGGTCCTGTGGCCTCTTCAGAAGTTACTCAGCCGCCAGCAGTGTCTGTGGCCTTGGGACAGACAATCAGCATCACCTGCCAGAGTGAACTTATTAAAAAAAAATACCCTAGTTGGCTCCAGCAAAACCCTGGGCAGGCCCCCAAGCTGCTCATCTATGCTGACAAAAACAGGACCTCAACGATCCCTGAGCGATTCTCTAGTTCATGGTCAGTGGACACGGACACCCTGACCATCAGCAGGGCCCAGGCCCAGGACGAGGCTGACTATTACTGTGCAGTGTGGGACGGCAGTGCTAAAGCTCACAGTGACACAGGCGGATGGGGAAGTGGGACAGAAACCTTCCTGTGTCACCCTCCCCTCCAGCCCTGAGCGCAGCTGCCCGTCTGTGTGGAGCGAGAGCAGGGCAGCTCAGGGCCCTTGGACGATCCCACGTGGAGCCTGTCAGCCGGGTCATGTCCAGGAGCGTGAGGCCATGAGGAGGGCGGGGGCATCGGACCTGACCCCATAGGGGCCTGGGCACCATGAGAGGGAGCGTCTGGAACAGCAGCCATCTCAGCTCCACAGCGACCCCACCGTGTCCAACAGAACCCCAGTTTACAGGGGACCTGGGCCCCCAGACACAGTCACCACCGGCCGTGTCAGAAGGACATTGGCCTTTGGACTTTAAAGAAACGTTGCTGGCCCTCCCTGGGGTGACTCAGTGGGTAGAGTGACAGCCTGCAGATGAGGGGTCCCGGGTTCCATTCTGTCCTAGGGCAGGTGACCCGTGTGTGGGCTCAATTCCAGGATGGCACTGCAGGAGGCAGCCAATCAGTGATTCCCTCTCATCACTGATGTTTCTCCCTCCCTCCCTCTCCCTCCCTCTCTAAAGTCAATAAAAATATATGTGAAAATAAATGAACAAATGCTGCTGGGAGTGGCCTTCTCCGTGGGAAGGTCATTGCCATGAACCTCCGGGCAGGACACGGTGTTGTACGCAGAGACCCAGAGGGAGGCTGAGGAGGAGGAAGGTGATGGACGGGCCTGCTGCTCTCACAAAGGGGTGTGTGGGCCACACTGCCCCGCACACACCCTGCCCTGGAGGTCAGGTCGCCCTGGACATCCTAGCAGGACCCCTCCCACGTGGTCCTGAGCCCACAGCTCAGGGGGGAGGACTGGGCAGCAGGAGTGGCCACAGGGCGCCTGGGGAGACCCTGAGGTGTGAGTGTGAGGAGGGGCGGAAGCGGGTGGGCAGGCAGAGGGGAGCGGGCGCCCCCTTAGCCGGGAGCAGCAAGGGCGTGTCTGAGGCAGAGACTGGGCTCATGTCAGTTCCCTCTTTGGCCCCAAAGGTGAGCAGGGCCAGGGGTTCCTGTGTCTGTGCTCAGGAGTCACCAGGCGCCTCCAGGTCCCTCCACATGCAGCATGGCCAGAGTGTGGGGGGATCAGTTACACCCCACCCTTTTCAGGCCCATGATTGAAAGCAAACACGTTTGTGCAGGAGATACCGTGGAAAAGGTTGTCTTGTCAATTATGTTTCTCAAAATTAAAGGATTTGTCCCTATTCTCACACTTGTCCAAACTCAATGGCCCTTCACGGTTAGAAAGGAATCTTGATCTCACTGTTGGAAGAAGAAATAAATTCAGAACCCCAACCAATCACTTGACTCCCAAGAAGCTGCTGACACGTGACCCTGTGTGGTGGGCCATGGAGGCAGAAGAGGGAGAGTCCCCGTCGCTGACCACACAGAGTCCGTGTTTCCCTGGGAAACACAGATTCTAACACGGAGTCCCTGAGCTCTCTTCTGAGAAGACACAGGGGGCATGGGCCTCCTGAGTATGGAAGAGAGGGTGGGACATGGGGGCTCAGGAGGCCTTGTGGGGAGGAGAGGAAGTGATCCGGAGGTGGAGAGGGGCAGGCCAGGGAGGGGGTGAAAGGTCAAGCTCTGTGGCCAATCTCCTGCATTGGAGTCTTGACCCATCATCTCTGTCTGGGGGATTCTGGGAAAATCTCTAACCTCCCAAAATCGCTCCCTCCTCATTGGCCTGGAAGAGAGGCTGGGCCCAGCAGAGGATGCTGGGGGCTTCTGTGATACTGAGTGAGGGGCCAGGGACACACTCCCCACCTGCCAGCCTCCAGGAAGCTCTCAGAAGGCCTCCCTGTGATGAACCAGCTGCACAGGGAGGTGACATTCACCCTGGAGACAGCAGGGGGCGCTGTGGGTCCTCCTTTGGGGCCTTTAGAGGTCAGAGTGCCCTGGGCTGTGTCAAGTGCAAAGAGCAGGACTGAGCTCCTGGGAAGACCCTCCCATGGGCCCAGCAGCTCTGAGCAGTGAAACCCACAGCTGCCCTCTGCCCTCAGGGGAGGCCCCGCAGGAGGCCCTGGGCTCAGGGCGGGGCCAGCAGCTGGCACACACCCTGGCTGGGCCCAGAGCACACATTTGCATGCCTGCTCCTCCCCCCTGAGCTGCAGGCACAGAGGATAAGACAGGGGCTGGCAGGGCCAGTGCCAGCTGGGCAGCCGCAGGCAGCGCTCAGGACCCTCCGCCATGGCCTGGCTGCCCTTCTGCCTGCTGCCCCTCTTGCTGTCCACAGGTCAGAGCGGCCAGAGCCCCCGGGGTCCTGCCCCCCATCCTCCCTCCCAGCTCCGTCCTCGGGGCGCCCGCACGTGGGGGTGCATAGGGCATCGCTCTGTGTTTTGTGTCCGCAGGTCTCTGTGCTCCTGTTGTGCTCACCCAGCCCCCATCTGCCTCTGCCGCCCCGGGGGCCTCGGTCAAGCTCACCTGCACCCTGAGCCAGGAGCACAGGAACTTCGACTATGTAGGCTGGTATCAGCAGAGAGCAGGACAGGTCCCTCGGTTCCTCCTGTACATTAACAGCGGCGGAAGCACCACCAAGGGGGACGGGATCACTGATAGGTTCTCGGGCTCCAGCTCCGGGGCCGACCGCTACCTGACCATCTCCAGCCTCCAGCCTGAGGACGAGGCTGACTATTACTGTGGTGTACCTTCTGGCTATTACTCACAGTGACACAGGCGGGTGGGGAAGTGGGACAGAAACCTGCCCCGCCCTGCCTGGTTCCCACGCTCACCCGCTGTCTGAGCAGCTGGAGGTCAGGCCTCAGGTTCAGGAGTCCTCCCTGGCCTGGCCGGTCTCCTGCAGCACTGGGGCCTCAGCAGGTCTCCTGTCCTCTCAGGGCCTCTGCTCCTGCTGATGGAAATGGTGGATAAGGAGAGAAAAACCTCCCTCCCCGGGGTCCTCCCACAGGTCCGGAGGGTGCCCTCCCTGCTTCTCCCAGGACCCTGAACCCATGGCTCTCCTCCTCCCACCACCTCACCTGGCCCCTCCTCCTGCTGAGAGCCCTGAGGAGAGGCCCCTGCAGGCACCACATAGGTCCCTGGGTCCAGACAGCCTGAGTGTCTTCGCCCCCCCCCCCCCAGGCATGTGGGAACAATGCTGGGGGACCTGCCTGCCATCAAGGGAAACATCTGAGAGAGGGGCGGGGCTGATGACCGTGTCCCCCAGCACCCTCAGGCCTGTGGTCCAACCTGGGGCTCTGGTCAGAGAGGAGCCGGATCTTGGGGTCCCGGCGGGGACCATGGAACACACAGCAGTGAGCGCCTTCCCTCTGAGTGCAGCATGGACTCCGGCAGGGCCTGGCAGGTCAGGGCTGAGCAGGACGCACTGGTCCTCAGGGAGGCAGGACAGAGCCCTGACCCCATGGGGGGCACAGCCCTGGGCCCCAGGAGGGAAGCGGTGCCTGAGGGGAGGTCTGAGCAGCACCAGCGTGGAGCAGGGAATGGCTCCTCCAGCTGCGCCAGAGCCTCTGCTTGTGGGGCCAACACAGGCCCCCTCTGCCCGGGCCCTCCCCAAGGTCGGTCAGGGTCATGTCCACTGAGAGGGCGGCCGGCAGGGGGGCCAGGGAGACTGAAGAGGGAAATATGTGGGCTCCTTCCTCCTGGAGGGCAGTCCTGTGGGGGGGTTCCCCCTCATTGCATCACACGGGGAGCCCAGGGGAGGGGACAGGCTGGACTCTGCCTGGTTCTCTGGAATCTGAAATACAGCACCTTTCACACCCCACACCTCCCAGGCCGCATGGAGCCGCTGTGGACTGACTCGCCCGGGTCCCTGGGGGCTGAGCTGAGCTGGGGCACGAGGGAGGCAGGGCTGGTCCCCAGTGGCTGCCTCTGAGATGAATATACAGTTGGTTCCCTGGGCCTGGGTGACCCTAGTTGGGATTGAGGGGGAAAGATTGGTCTCCCGGGAAGGAGGGAACAGGGAGCAGGAGGAGCAGGAGGAAATGGATCAGGGCTGACCCCCCAGTGACCTCTGTCAGCCCAGGCAACTGCAGGCAGAGTGTCCCAGGACCACCCCAGTCCCCCTCCCCTGTGAAGGGCTGTTCTCTTTGTCCCACACAAACCCTCAGGTCCCTCTGGCTCTCTCTCCTCTCTCTTTCTCTCACTCTCTCCCTCTTTGGATTTTTCTCACCACCTCCCTTCCTCTCTGAACTCAATGAAAACACACATATTTTAAAAAGAGCTCCTTCCTTCTCCCTGCAGACTAGTGTTCCCTGGTCTGGCGGGAGTGACGTCTGTTATTCACCACACAGGAAGGACAGAGGCCTCGGTGCTCTCCCACGTGGACATGGTGCCCGCGGGGCCATGACTTCTGTGCAGAGTTCCCAGGGTTCTTCTTCCAGGATTAAGAAGGGTTCAGCAATGTGGAGAAAGGCGGCGCAAAGATTAAGTAAGGGTCCAAAGAGGAAAGGAAATTTTGAAAAGTGTTAGGGGACAGAGGAGCTTTGGCTAAAGGAACTAAGCTCTTTTTGTCTCAGGACACTTGCTTTTTATTAACAATTTGTCCTAAGGAAAGGTGGAGATCATACACTTCCAAGGGTAGGGTTTAGAGCATTGTCAGGATGGGGAGAAGCCTACAGATGTTCAGGTGTTTGGCCAACAGGAGGCAATGACAGGTAGATTAAGAAGCCCTGAGCTGTCTGGCAGCAAGCAATCATCCTATTGAGGTTTGGGGGAAATGCCTTCAGCCATTCCAACAGGTGATTGCATATGTGCCTCAGCCCTTGTGGAGTCCTCAAGTTGTATCAGCCTTTTGAGGAAACTCTTGCAATCATGACATGCTGGACGTGGATCTGGCACCCAGTGTCTCTGTGAGCACAGGCCTCCCTCTGAAAGGAGTGCCCAGAGCAGAGCTGGGCTGTGTGCTGAGTGCGAGGCTCCGTCCCCCAGAGGCTGTGAAGGGTTTCCCACAGTCACCTGACCCTTTCCCATTCCCACCGTCCCTCTTGGCGGCATCCGTTGCACCCTCCCTTGAGAACGGAAAATACCTGTCTCATGTTGTGGTCGTGTATCACTGTGATTTTCACTGCTGTTTCCCTAGTAACTAAGGATGAACGCCCTCCCCTGTGCTCAGGACCATCAACACCCCCTCTGCCTGATTCGCCTGCTCATGGGTCGTGCCTGCGTCCTCATGGGTTCTAACTCTTTGGTTAAATTTCATTCCTTCTGTCCTGGCTGCACTGGCCATTCATTAAAAATGGGGTTAACTCGCATTTCTCTTCTCTCTCTTGCCTGTTCCTTTACAAAGCTTTACCTAGCCAAGGAGATCGCTTTCCATGAGTGTCAATGAATGAATGGTTCCTTTGGTGAATTGCGCTTCTGATGGCATCACAGAATGCTTGCTTGGCCTTAGACCTCAGTCAGTAACTAGATCGCCTGACAGGCACATGAGCAATTTCTTGCCTCTGGCGCTGGGACCCAGGCCTTTCCCACCCCAGCATGACCACTGGCCCCACAGGATCCTCCCAGCCCCGCAGCCACACCCTGAGGGTGAGTTCTCTCTGGACAGGAGCCCTATGTTGGTCCGTATGCCCAAAGAGGAGACCAGGGTACTGGTTTTGGGGTCAAAACTCTCTCTCTCTTTCCCCCGCTTCCAAATATGTTTTCATTCATTTCAGAAAAAGTAGGGGGAGGGAGAGAGATAGAAACATCAATGATGAGAGAATCAATAATGGGCAGCCTCCTGCACACCCCAAAACAGGGATTGAGGCCAACCTGGGCCTTGGCCCTCACCTGGAATCAAAACTGGATCCCTGGGTCATGGGTCGATACTCCAACACTGGGCCACATGGGCCGGACAGATCTTTCTAAATGGACAGCACAGGGCGCTCTGGGGAACCTGGTGCAGGCCCAGTGCATGGAGCCCTGGCACAGCCTCCCACACTGAGCCCTTTTCTGCTCAGCAGGGAGACCCCCTGGGGCCCAGGAGGGAGGAAGTGGATTTGCATGAGGCCCCGCCCACCCAGGAGGGAAGAGCCTTGAAGACCTCACCCCCAGCTGAGGGCCCAGAGCAGAGCCTGGCAGCCTCACCATGGCCTGGACCTTTGTGCTCACCCTCCTCACACTCTGCACAGGTGCTGCCCCAGGCTCAGCCCAGACATCAGAGAGCAGCCTGGCCATGACCTTCAGCTCAGAAAGGGGGTGATGAGGGGTGTGGGCCTCTGGGAATGAGACCCTCATGCCCACATACACCTCTCCTCTCCTCTCCGCTCCTCTGCTACCTTCCCCTCTCCTCTTCTATCTTCCCCTTTACGCTCCTCTCTTCTCTTCTCCCCTCCTCTCCTACCTTCCCCTCGCCTCTCCTCTCCTGTCCTGTCCTCTCTTCTCTTTTTTTGTCTCCTCACTTACAGGTCCCGTGGCCTGCTCAGAAGTTACTCAGCCCCCAGCAGTGTCTGTGGCCCCGGGACAGACAGTCAGCATCACCTGCCAGGGAGATCTCATAGCAAAATATTATCCCAATTGGTACCAGCAGAAGACCAGCCAGGCCCCAGTGCTAGTCATCTATGGTAACAACAACCGGCCCTCAGGAATCTCAGACCGATTCTCTAGCTCTGACTCAGAGGACACGAACACCCTGAGCATCAGAGATGCCCAGGCCCAGGACGAGGCTGACTATTACTGTGCAGTGGGGGACAGCAGTGCTAAAGCTCACAGTGACACAGGCGGATGGGGAAGTGGGACAGAAACCTCCTGTGTCACCCTCCCCTCCAGCCCTGAGCGCAGCTGCCCGTCTGTGTGAAGCGAGAGCAGGGCAGTTTGGGGCCCTTGGACGATCCCACGTGGAGCCTGTCAGCCGGGTCATGTCCAGGAGCGTGAGGCCATGAGGAGGGCGGGGGCATCGGACCTGCCCCTGGAGGACCCTGGGAACCCTGAGAGGGAACGTCTGAAACAGCAGCCATATCAGCTCCACAGCGACCGCACCGTGTCCAACAGAACCCCAGTTTACAGGGGACATGGGCCCCCAGACACAGTCTCCACCAGCCGTGTCAGGAGGACAATGGCCTTTGGACTTTAAAGAAACATTGCTGGCCCTCCCTGGGGTGACTCAGTGGGTAGAGTGACAGCCTGCAGATGAGGGGTCCCGAGTTCCATTCTGTCCTAGGGCCCGTGACCCGTGTGTGGGCTCAATCCCAGAAGGGCGCTGCAGGAGAGAGCCAATCAATGATTCTCCTTCATCACTGATGTTTCTATCTCTCACTTCCTCTCCCTCCCTCTCTAAAGTCAATAAAAATATATGTGAAAATAAATGAACAAATGCTGCTGGGAGTGGCCTTCTCCGTGGGAAGGTCATTGCCATGAACCTCCGGGTAGGACGCGGTATTGTGCGCAGAGATCCAGAGGGAGGCTGAGGAGGAGGAAGGTGATGGACGGGCCTGCTGCTCTCACAAAGGGGCGTGTGGGCCTCACTGCCCAGCACACACCTGCCCTGGAGGTCAGGTCGCCCGGGACATCCTAGCAGGACCCCTCCCACGTGGTCCTGAGCCCACAGCTCAGGGGGGAGGACTGGGCAGCAGGAGTGGCCACAGGGCGCCTGGGGAGACCCTGAGGTGTGGGTGTGAGGAGGGGTGGCAGCGGGTGGGCAGGCAGAGGGGAGCGGGCGCCCCCTTAGCAGGGAGCAGTAGGGCTGTGCCTGGGCTCATGTCAGTTCCCTCTTTAGCCCCAAAGCTGAGCAGGGCCAGGGCTCCCTGTGTCTGTGCTCAGGAGTCACCCAGCGCCTCCAGGTCCCTCCACGTGCAGCGTGGCCAGCGTGTGGGGGTGTCAGTGACGTTCTGTTCCCAGCAGTGCTGGGTGTGGACACAGACATGGTGTCAGGATGTGAGGGGACACCTGCTTTCCTGCCAAAGACGCTTTGGAAAGTCACAGGCTGCCTCTCCCTGCACTGACCCTGCTCCACACCCATGGCCTGGGCCCGGTCAGAGGAGCAATCCCGATCAGCACTGTGAACAGCCTCGCCAGACAGGGGCCCTAAGCAGGACCCAATTCCCATGTGCCTGTGACACAAGACCCCGTGGGGTCAGTCACGCAGGGAGAGGGGCGTGTTCCCACCTCAGTCCACACTCAGTTCCATGTTCCCCAGGAGACACCGATGGCAACAGCCTGAGGATCTGAGCACTGTTCTCCCAGACTCAGGAGGATGGACTCCTGAATAGAGAACAGAGGGCGGGACAGGAGGGCTGAGTGGCCTGGTGGGGGCGGGACAGGGAGGACGCTGGAAGGTCAGGCTCTGAGGCCAGTCTCCTGTATTGGAGTCTTGACCCAACATCTCTGTCTGGGGGATTCTGGGAAAATCACTAACCTCCCAAGGACGCTCCCTCCTCATTAGCCTGGAAGAGAGGCTGGGCCCAGCAGAGGATGCTGGGGACTCCTGTGATGCTGAGTGAGGGGCCAGAAACACACTCCCCACCTGCCAGCCTCCAGGAAACTCTCAGAAGGCCTCCCTGTGATGAACCAGCTGCACAGAGAGGTGACATTCATCCTGAGGACAGCAGGGGGCGCTGTGGGTCCTGGTTTGGGGCCATAGAGGTCAGAGTGCCCTGGGCTGGGTCAAGTGCAAAGAGCAGCACTGAGCTCCTGGGAAGACCCTCCCATGGGCCCAGCAGCTCTGAGCAGTGAAACCCACAGCTGCCCTCTGCCCTCAGGGGAGGCCCCGCAGGAGGCCCTGGGCTCAGGGCGGGGCCAGCAGCTGGCACACACCCTGGCTGGGCCCAGAGCACACATTTGCATGCCTGCTCCTCCCCCCTGAGCTGCAGGCACAGAGGATAAGACAGGGGCTGGCAGGGCCAGTGCCAGCTGGGCAGCCGCAGGCAGCGCTCAGGACCCTCCGCCATGGCCTGGCTGCCCTTCTGCCTGCTGCCCCTCTTGCTGTCCACAGGTCAGAGCGGCCACAGCCGCCGGCGTCCTGCCCCCATCCTCCCTCCCAGCTCCGTCCTCGGGGCGCCCGCACGTGGGAGTGCTTTGGGCCTCACTGTGTTTTGTGTCCGCAGGTCTCTGTGCTCCTGTTGTGCTCACCCAGCCCCCATCTGCCTCTGCCGCCCTGGCGGCCTCGGTCAAGCTCACCTGCACCCTGAGCCGGGAGCACAGCAACTTCAACTATGTCAGATGGTATCAGCAGAGAGCAGGACAGGCCCCTCGATACCTCTTGTACATTAACAGTGATGGAAACACCACCAAGGGGGACGGGATCCCCGATCGCTACTCAGGTTCCAGCTCCGGGGCCGACCGCTACCTGACCATCTCCAGCCTCCAGCCTGAGGACGAGGCAGATTACATCTGTGGAGTGGGCTATAACACTGATGGCAAATTTGGGGGGTTCCACTGTGACTCAGACAAAGGGGAAGTGGGGCAAAAACCTCCCTCCCTCTGTCTGCTCCTCCCCGGGGACTCGGGGGACCTGCTCCCTGTCCCTCTCCAGGCACTGAGATGCTGACTGTTTCCTATCAAATCCCATCACGCTCCCCTGTCCCCCATCGCATCCTGGGGAGAAGCAAACAGGGGCCATGACTGGGGTCCTTGTGCCCACACTTACATTCTGACCCCCCTCACCTGTGGGCAGGAAGCTGGCACCCACCACACCAGACCCCGCACACCAGGCCCCTGAGGGGGAGTGGGGCTGCGCTGACCAGTTTCCCAGGAGGCACCGGGCCTGGGCTCGGGTCCGGGCTCTGCTCAGGGAAGGAGCAGAGACCTCAGGGCTGCAGAGGTGACCGTGGACGTGGTCTGCTGCCTGTGCTGCTCCGTGGAGGGAAGCAGGGCCTGGCAGGACGGGGCTGAGCAGAGCCTCTGCTTGTGGGGCCAAGACAGGCCCTTCTGCCCGGGCATTTGAGAGACAACGGGGCGGGACCCCGGCCACTGAGGATGGACATGGAGCGGGAGGAGCGGGAGGAGAAGGATCAGGGCTGACCCCACAGTGAATGAATGCACAGAGTCTGAGGGCCTCCCCGTCACCCTCCCTGCGAAGGGCTGTTCTCTAAAGGGCTGCGGTGACTTTGTCCCTAAGGAGCCCCACGGGTCCCTCTGCAGAGCGAGTCCCTAACCCTTACCTGTTGCCCTCCCTTCACAGAAGCCATGTGATTCTGAAACCAGAAGTCAAGTTTGCATCCAAAGTTCTAGAGTGGCATCAATTATACTCAACAAAGCAGCTTCAAAAAACTACAATAGCCCTTCCAGCTTTGCTCAGTGGTGGAGTGTCGACCTATGAACCAGGAGGTCAGGGTTTGATACCCATCAAGGGCACGTGCCTGGGCTGTGGGCTCGATCCCTGATAGGACTTGTGCAGGAGTCAGCTGATCAATGATTCTCTCTCATCATTGATGTTTCTAGCTTTCTCTCTCCCACTGCCTTTTTCTCTGAAATAAGATAAAATTAAAAATAAAATAAATAAATAAATAAACGCTTGGGTAGCAGGTGATCTGAAGAGTCTCTAGATGAAGCAGGTGACTACCTGGCCAGGAGGGAGGTGGAGCTGATGTGGCTGACAGTGCCCAGGAGGCGGGGCCAGAGTGAGAGTGAGCTGAGGAGAGACCACCCCTCTTGTTCCTTCCCTTTCTCCAATACCCCCCCTGTCTCCTCCTCCTCTCTCATTACTTCCCATTTAATTCTTCTGTTTATCTCTCCCTTATGCTCTTTGCTGTTGTTTTCCATTCACTCTTCCTTTCATTTTTCCTGTTTTCCTCTTCATAGCGTGTGTGAGTGTGTGTGTGTGTGTATGTGTGTGAGTGTGTGTGTGTGTGTATGTGCTTGAGTGTGAGTGTGTGTGAGTGTGTATATGCTTGTGTGTGTATGTGAGTGTGTTTGTATGTGCTTGTGTGTGTGTGTGTGTGTGTGTGTGTGTGTATGTTTCTATGGGATTTTATCCCATGTGCGGCTTCATGGATCCACAGTAGCATGAAGACACAACAACCTTCTCTCCCCCCTCGGCCCTCCCACATTCACCTTTATAACAGCACCACCTCTCCTTCAAGGTGCCCTTCCCTGTCCCCAACTCCTGGCTCCAGTGGTTGCGTCTTCATTTCTAAACATCTACACTTCGGAACTGGCCTGTGGGGTTAGAGACGGAATTCCGGAGTGCTTAGCCTCTGAGGGAGCGCTCCTCACCGCCCTGACCCCTGTAGACTCTCCCAACGGGCGGTGCATTGAGCTCCTTCCTCTTCATGGCCGAGGCGGAGTCCATGGTCCTGGTGGGCCAGCGTCTGCTGCCCCTCCACCCAGCAAGGTCATCTCACTGCTCTCTGAGACGTATGCCCACGGGTGCCAGGGACACCTCCTGTCCTTCTCCGTGAACATCAGCTGTCACTTCTCTGAAACAAATGCCCGGTGTCCTCGGGGGGTGTGAGGCAGGGACTAGTACTTTCACAGCTGCCCGCTCTTTCCGACTGTCTGCACCATTGCCCATGAGCAGAGCCACCTGTGAGCGACCCCGGTTCTCCACACCCTCAGCCATAGTGGGGATCACCCCTTCTTTCCCTGTAGCCAATCTGAGAAGCGGGACTGAGATCTCGCGATATTTCATCGGCATTTCTCTAATGCCCAAGGGGGAGCATCTTCATCTGTGCTGGTTGCCATAAATATGTCTTCTTCACAGCATGGTTCTTCTTGACAAAAACCCGTGTTCTAAACAGTTCATAGTAGTGTTCTTGCTTCTTCCTGTCTAGCTTTGAGGTTCCTTTTTCTATTCTATACTCGATGTGTGTGTGTGTTTTTTTTTAAGCAAAATATCCATTCTGTGAGGTTCAATGCTAT